GGTTATCTTTATTGTAGATGTTTTGCCATCCAGTGGCTTTGTCAATACAGATTCATGGACATAACTAGACAACAGAAGAACTATATACAAAAGATGAGGTAATCAGTCCCTCAGCCTTGGAGGTGATGTTTGGAGCACTGTGGCAAGGAGACTGGTGCTTATATAGGCGTCAGTGAATAGGGACGTGTAGCAGACGAGGGCATAGTCACTGGTAGGCGGGATTCCCCAGTGGAAGTAGGTCCTACCCAAATTGATGGGTTAGTTGTAGTAGCCATGAAGAAGTTCATGTATATGTCCTCTGAACATCTTCACAGCTACTACAGCTAACCCATCAATTTGGGTAGGACCTACTTCCACTGGGGAATCCCGCCTACCAGTGACTATGCCCTCGTCTGCTACACGTCCCTATTCACTGACGCCTATATAAGTGCCAAACGCCTTGCCACGGTGCTCCAAACACCACCTCCAAGGCTGACTGACTGATTACCTCATCTTTTGTATATAGTTCTTCTGTTTTCTATTTATGTCCATGAATCTGAATTGACAAAGCCACTGGATAGCGAAACATCTACAATAAAGATAACCAGATGTTGCACAAGTGTCTTAACTTACGAAAGTATAACTTGTGTGTTGGAGAACCGGTGATTGCTGGCAGCTCCTACAATGACGAACAGTCGAGACCTCAACCCTTATTTACAGCCTGAAGGTTTATAGATCACTGTATTTAGCTTTTCTAGGTTTTTCCGTCTCCACCACAACAAATGCTATGTTATCACTATAGCTGGCTGGTGAAGATTATTGGAGGTAAGTCGCTTTTGCTGGAGTACTATTTGCTTTTCGTTGTGTATATTGCAATGGCTGCTAACTACAGGTTATATGACTTTCCACTGTATACATCTAGTATTTCAAGAATGAAGAAAAAACTAATGATAGTCACTCCACCCCACTAAGTACCATTTTGTTACTGGTTATTTGCTACTACAACACTGTGATAAGGTTTCTGAATGATAAATGGTCTTATTGTTGTAAACCTTCACTGATATCATATTTTTACAAAACTGTACACTTTTGTATTTCCTCAAGATTTTGCAACTCATCGTAATTTAGAGGAAAATTTTCCCCACTGGTATCACTAGATTATAGGCAAGGTACACTAGCTGGCTAGGAAGATTATATGCGAGGTACACTAGCAGGCTAGGAAGATTATTAAAACAGCTGACCTGTGTGGTAGGTTCCTGGTGACTGCTGGCACCTGCCTCTTTAAGCCTATCACTTCAGTTACAATTACACCTGTTTTAAATGACACTTTAGCATTATTATCTATATATTAGGGTGCAACTATGGTATACACTATAACACTATGTATACACAACATTATCAGGGAGACTTTCTTTCCTCTGACAAAGAAAAGTTCTAGTATTATTTTGCACATGGCACGCTAGGCCTATACACTAGTTCCCCTCTGGGAGTATACTCTGCTAGGTACTGCACACTAATTCTCCTTTTTTTGACTTTGTATATACTTTTTTCTCCCCAAGATTGCTTCCAAGCACTAGAGGGATGTATCGTATAAGATTGCTGGCACAATTTAAAGTTCTAGCACATAAGAGAGACCGTGAAAACACGAGAAAACACGGAGCACAACGAGGTACGCGGGCACACGGACACTGCTGCATAAGCCATTCCAGTTTTTTTTTTTTTCCATTTATTGTTATAACCTACTCACTTTTAGCTGTAGCCATGGTTCCAACGAATAAAGGAAATGCTTCTCATTGTGTAAAGCACATACACTGTACACTGTCCATAAAAGATAAGGTTGCTTTGAAGCTACTGTCAATCACCATGAGCTCAGCTCAATTAGATAAGCTGTGAACGGTAAATCTGGGCCTACATATGAGAGAATAGGTCTGTGTGGTAAGTGTGCACTATATAAAAAAATCCTGCAGCATGCAGTGCATAATGAGAAAAAAGCTGCAACCATGTTTAGGGTGTAAAACCAACTTTATGGTGCATTTTTGTGTGGTTTTCATGGTTGTATTCTCTTTTTTTGGTCTCATTTGATAGAACAGAAGATATATTACAGAAATAGATATGATTTTGATTGGTTTCATGACAGAAAGTACCTTGAAATTGAGCTCAAACTAGCAGAAATGTTTGATTTTTGCCGATGATCAGATTAACCCTTTCAGGGTCCAAGGCCCAAATCTGGAGTCACGCACCAGTGTCCAAGAATTTAAAAAAAAAAAATTTGTTATGTTTTCTTATGAAATCGTAGAGAATCTTTTTGTGAAGGTAATAAAACAAAAAGTACGAAATTTGGTGGAAAATTGACGAAATTATGCTCTCGCGAATTTTGATGTGTCAGAGATATTTATGAATTGGCGATTTTGCCGACTTTGACTCCCATTTTACGCCAATTACATTATTCCAATCAACCAAATTCTTAGCTATTTCACTAGTATTACTTCTATTCTATCGATTGGGCACAAGAAATCGCCAAGTCAACTGTTTCAACTACAAAATAAAGTGATCGGAAATTGTTAATTTGGCCAATTTAACACAAAGTTCAAAATATTCCAATTTCAAAATAGGGTCCAGAATAAACAATGTAGGCATTCCTGGCACTAAACTAACATTTCCTCTGTTCATTAGTTATGTTTTGAGGCTTTACAAATAAATTCCATTTTGATTTTTTATTCACATAATGAATTTTTATTCACACCAAAAAATAGAAGATTTACTGTTATGCAATACTGTAATAATTGTATAAATATCATCACCATATTTGTGAATGTATATTAGACCCACCAGCTGACGTGTATTAGATGTGTGAGGTCGTTTGTTTAATCTTGAATATCGGCAAAAATTTAACATTTCCGCTACTTTGAGCTCAGTTTCAAGCCATTTCCAGTGCTAAAACCAATCAAAATCATCTCTATTTCTGTAATATGTCTTCCATTCTATCAAATGAGACCAAGAAATCGCAAATACAACTATAAAAAACATACGAAAAAACACTGCAAAGTTGCTGTTTTAATCGAAAAATCATGATTTCAGTTTTTTTCTCTCATTATACACAGTGTGCTGCAGGATCTGTTTTATGTGGTGCACACATACCACATAGATGTATTCTCTCATATCTAGGCCCAAATGTACCACTCACAGTTTATCAGAGTGAGCTGAGCTCATGGCGTAGATCTACGGTTTGGACACTCACCGTAAAGCCGTAGATCTACGGGACGGACCCTGAAAGGGTTAAACAAATGACGTCACCATCCAATACGTGTCCAACTGGCCAGTCTAATGTGCAGTCATGAATAGCTTGACATTATTTATACAATTATCACAATAATGTAGTAGTCTACATAACAGTAAATCTTCTATTCTTTGTGTGAATTAAAATTCAGAATGTAAAGCAAGCGTAATGTAAGAGGGGTCTGGATACATGACTAATGTTATTTTAGTGCCAGGAATGTCTGCATTGTTTATTCTGGACCCTATTTTGAAATTGCCATCTCTTGAAATTTGTGTGAAATTGGCCAAATTACTGATTTCTGGCCACTTTATTGGTTAGCTGAAATAGGTAAATGGGTGGTTTCTTGTACTGAGTCGACAGAATAGAAGGAATACTAGCAAAATAGCTATGAATCTGGTAGACTGGAACAATGGAATGGGCCAAAAATAGGGCATAAAATGAGTGAAATTGCCGATGCATAAATACTGTCATTGGGTTAAGTGTATTCAAACCTAACCACTCTGTAATCTAGCAAAATCACTAAACCAGCACCCTACAGGTCCCAATGGTGCCGAGTTAGTGATAGTCAACCTGTACTACTTATTCTTACCATTATTTATATTTACATTTACATTCAACTCTTTTTCTTTTACACACCCTTACAAACTCTACTAACTTCTGACATTTTAAATTTCCTTCTATAGCTCACTTCTAGACAGCAACCACCCAGGGAGGTACTACCGTCCTGCCAAGTGAATGTAAAACGGAAACCTGTACGTGTAATTGTTTTACATGATGGTAGGACTGCTGGTGTCTTTTTTGTCTCATAAACATGCAAGATTTCAGGTATATCTTGCTACTTCTACTTACACTTAGGTCACACTACACATGCATGTACAAGCATATATATACACACCCCTCTGGGTTTTCTTCTATTTTCTTTCTAGTTCTCGTTCTTGTTTATTTCCTCTTATCTCCATGGGGAAGTGGAACAGAATTCTTCCTCCGTAAGCCATGCGTGTTGTAAGAGGCGACTAAAATGCCAGGAGCAAGGGCCTAGTAACCCCTTCTCCTGTATATATTACTAAATTTTAAAAGAGAAACTTTCGCTTTTCTTTTTGGGCCACCCCGCCTTGGTGGGATACGGCCAGTTGAAAAAAAAAAAAAAGCTCACCTCTATCTTATAAACATAAATGTCCTTCATTTTATGCTGTACAGTAGATGTGTTGATGCCCTTGGTATCTATACTAAACTCAGTTGGGCCTTAAGCATTAATTATGCATAATAAAAACCTTCAGAACTCTTTCTGAACTGTGGCACTCATATACGGTTACTGTAAATTGCATTGCCCAAAATGTTCATGCACGTTTGTGGCTTTCTTTGTGCTTAACGATATTTTATTACATGTAAGCTACACCTTGTATACTACGCAAAGAAATAAAAAATTTGAATTTGATATGCTGTACAGAATTGCCAATAGAAATACAAGATCATAACAGCAAATTCACAAAAAAATGAATCCACATAAAGTGAGAGAGACTTGCTACTTTAATGGAAAAATTACTAAGTACAGAATACAACACATACAAAAAATAACAAGTTACAATATCGTAGCTGAAACAATTCACAAAAAACTCGCACTTAGGAGAGGAACCTCATGATGATGCTCCAGTCTGTCCTTGATCATTCTCAAGTCACTCTACAGGTTATTTGTGAACAATGCATCCATTTCTCAATTACAAGATAATTAGAGATAAAAACTTACAGACTTTGTCTCGTACAATGCCATTTTCTGCAGTCCATTTATGATGGGGAAAAACTGGATGTTGTGCTTCTTATAATCCATTTTGTGATGTTTGTTTCACCATTTCTGAAAAAGAGTAAATAATCACAAAAAGAAAAGAAATAAAAGGAATGCCTGTATTAATTTCTATCATGAAATAATACACTAAATCATGCAGTAACTGAAAATTACAGAGTTATCCAATTATGATCATTATTCTATTAAAAACAAGCACTAAACCAATAAGGGTTATAGAGTAAGTAAGTAAATTTATTTAGGCACAGGTACACATAAGTACAATTATCATACATAATGTAAATTACCTAGGATAACCCAAAAAAGTTAGTGACTTATTTCCAGTGGGGTCCCACTGTGAACCTAGTTGTGTGGTAGCACATTCTGCTCAGAACTGAAGGATCAGAGTTCATTTGTAAGTGAATCATGATATACTGGAAAGTCACTATGACCAATCAAGCACAATGAAAATATACACAAGTAAAATTTGCAGTGGCTTACAAACTCGCCAAGTGAATAATAAAATCTTATATCTGTTGCCTGTTTGTAGATTTATGAGACATATCCTGTGGATAAGAATCTAAAGTTTGCAAAGGAAATAAGCCACACTACTTGGCTATTTTGGGCTAACAGCTCTCCTGAGTTAACCCTTTCAGGGTTTCGGACATACTAGTACGGCTTACGCACCAGGGTTTTTGACGTGCTAGTACTCCTAAATTCTAGCACCCTCAAATCTAGTGAGAAAAAGCTGGTAGGCCTACATATGAAAGAATGGGTCTATGTGGTCAGTGTGCGCAGTATAGAAAAAACCCTGCAGCACACAGTGCGTAATGAGAAAAAAAAAATTTAACCGTGTTTTTGGATTAAAACAGCGACTTTACACTGTATTTTCATGTGGTATTTATTGTTGTATTCTAGTTTTTCCGGTCTCATTTTAAAGAATGGAAGACATATTACAGAAATTGAGATGATCTTGACTGGTTTTACAATGAAAAGTATCTTGAAATTGAGCTCAAAGTAGCAGAAATGTTCGATTTTTGCCAAAGTTCAAAAGTAAACAAATCATGCTAAGCGTCCAATACACATCAACTGGTGAGTCTAATATTCTTTCACAAGTGCGCCGATATTATTTATACCATTTCTACACTAATGCAGTAGTCTGCATAACAGTAAGTCTTCTATCTTTTGTGAGAATAAAAATTCAAAGTGGAAAGCAAAAGAATGTATGTGGGGCATGGGGACGTGACTAAGGAACATAGGAAATGTTATTTTAGTGCCAGGAATGTCTTTCTTGTTTATTCTGGACCCTATTTGGAAATTGGCATCTTTTGAAATTTGTGTGAAATTGGCAAAATTGCTAAATTCTGACCACTGTATTGGATAGTTGAAATTGGTAAAGGGGTGGTTTCTTGTACTCATTCGATAGAAAAAATGGAGTTCTAGCGAAATAGTTATGATTTCTGTCAACTAGTACACTGGTATTGGCCAAAAATGGGGCTCAAAGTGGGCAAAATCGTGGATGCGTAAACATCGTTGAGACCGCTAACTTCGCGAGAGCATAATTCCATAAGTTTTCCATCAAATTTCATACTTTTGGTGTCATTATGATCGGGAAAAGATTCTCTATCTTTTCATAAAAAAAAATTTTTTTTTTTTTGAAATTTGGGCGACCCTGAGAACAAGTCTGGGAGTGGGCCTGGGGACCCTGAAAAGGTTAATGATACAAAGAAAATTATTTTTCTTCATAAGCACACTGCCTGAGAGTAATAGGCATTCTTGGAGAAAAAGAAGTTATTGAGCGTCATTATATTTGTTAGGTAAATGAACACACATGAAATTTAATGAGACAATTATTAAGGTGCTTCACCCACCAGGTGAAACTAACTATATTGCTGGCATTACTACTAATAGTTTATTTATTTATTTATTTATTTATTTATTTATTATTAATTTGGACATGATACATAGAAGTACAAAGAAATACAGTGGTTAAGTGTAACATGCCAAAAGCCCCTTGTATGCAGAGCATTATGGGCAGACTTAAAATTAACTTAAGATTAACTAAGCAATGATATATTCAGTGGTAAAAATTATAGTAAACAAATAACAATTAAGCACAAATGAGTATTTCAAAGATAGGTCACATGGTCATTTACTGAGTTGCTGCATTCAGTAGAATGGAGTATTCTGTTAGGTAATGTAATTAAAAAAATTTGATAGGGCCACAGGTTAAACATTTATGAGATACAATTATTCAGTATTTATTTAGTTGTGGGTGATTAAGTGATTTTTAAGAAGAGACTTGAATTTATAAATAGTGTTTCTCTTATATTCACAGGTAATGAATTCCAGATTTTTGGGCCTTTTATATAAAGTGCATTGAGTTTTTGCATAGCGTGAGATGGACACGAGGAACATCAAAGAGTGATTTGTGCCTTGTGTTATGGTCATGTGTTCTGTTGAGGTTGGTAAGGAGACGTTTGAGGGGAGGGTATATATCCGAGTTAAGTGTTCTATGTATGTAGTAGGTACAATAATAAGTATGGATGTTTTGTACGGTGAGTAGGTTTAGAGTTTTGAATATTGGTGGAGTGTGCTGCCTGTAGTGGGAATTTGCTATCATTCTGACTGCAGCCTTTTGTTGGGTAATTAATGGTCTGAGATGGTTTATTGTTGTTGAGCCCCATGCACAAATTCCATGGGTGAGATAAGGGTAAATAAATGAGTGATATAGGGCCAGGAGGGCTGACTGTGGAACATAGTACTGTATCTTCGATAGTATGCCTACGGTCTTGGAAATTTTCTTGGAAATTTGTTGAACATGTGTTTGAAATTTGAGTCTATTATCAAGGTGGATTCCTAATAATTTTCCCTCCGTGAGCTTTGTGATAGGTGATCTGTTTATCATTATGTTAAGAGGGACATCTGTAGCTCTGTTTCCAAACTGAATGAAGTAGGTTTTGTCAATGTTGAGAGTAAGTTTGTTAGTCATCATCCAGGTTGATATTTTCTGTAATTCGGTATTTACAGTACTGGCTAGCATGACTGGGCTTGGGTTAGAGAAGACGTATATAGTGTTATCTGCAAATAGCGTGGGTTTGAGTAGTTGCGATGCATTTGGTAAGTCATTTATGTAAACGAAAAAGAGAAGAGGGCCAAGGACACTTTCCTGTGGGACACCAACTGTAATTGGCTATGCAGAAGAGTTTGCTCCATTTGTGTACACATATTGGCTTCTGTTGCTGAGGTATGACTTTAGGTAGTTGAGGGAGTGCCCTCTTACACTACAGTGCGACAATTTTACGTGGAGCAAATCATGGTCAACTGCATCAAAAGCTTTACGTAAATCAATGAAGATCCCCAGTGAGACTTCTTTTTTCTCTAGTGCAGTGTATATTTGTTCTAGCAAGTGTATAATAGCATCATTTGTATTTTTATTAAGCCTGAACCCAAACTGACAGGAACTGAGTATGTTGTGGGAGATGAGGTAGGAATAGATTCGCTTATGAATTAATTTTTCGAAGATTTTAGAGAGAGGGTGTAAGTTGGATACTGGCCTATAGTTGTTCAAGTCTGTTTGGTCTCCTCCTTTATGGATCGGGGTGACCCTCACTATTTTGAGAACTGTAGGAAAGGTAGAGGATTCTATGGATTTGTTAAAGTGTGTTGCAATGATTGGTGACAGCACTAGCGATGCTTTTTTGTATATAAAGGGTGGTAAGGTATTTAAATCTCCTGTCTTGTTTTTTAGTGTGTTGATAATAAGGGAGACTTCTGTTGGGTTAGTCGGAGTTAGGAACAGTGTGCTCGCGTAGTTGTGAGTGAGGTAGTCATTGGGTGGGGTATTTGAGCTTGGGATTTTATTGGCAAGGTTTTTTTCCTATAGTGGAGAAGAAATCATTGAGTCTGTTTGCTGTTTCAGTTGGTGAGAGTTGGGGTTCATCTGGTTTTGTTAGTTCAATTGTGCAATTTCATGATATCTTTTTTGTTCCTAGAATTTCTGATAGGGTTTTCCAGGTCTTTTTTATATCACCTTTTAAGTTGGAGAATCTGTTCTCATAATACAATTTTTTAGCCCTTCTTATCAGCCTCTATTATTACTAATATTCTGATAGCTCGATTGCTAGTGCATTCAGCTCACACACTGAGGTCTGTGGTTTGATCCCCGGCACAGCTGGAAACATCAAGACATGTTTCCTAGAGAAACCTGGTGTCCATTTTCACCTATCAGTAAAATAGGTACCCGGGTGTTAGTCAACTGGTGTGGGTTACATCCTGGGGACAAAATTGAGCTAATTTGCCTGAAATGCTCTACATAATATGGGTTTTTCTGTATCACAGTAAATCACTGATGACAGCTAGGCTTGTATACACTGAACATGCATTTGTTGAAATAAATATTATTATTATTATACTATATTCATGTGTAAGCACCAAATCTGCAATGTGGTAGTGAATTCTGATCCCTTGGCTCAAAAGCCCTCCCCGTGAAGTACTGGTAAGATAAACTCTCTCCTTTACCTATGGTTATCATGACCTTGCAAGTTCTTTTACGTGTGTTATCACCTATAACTACCTGGACCTGAGATTCGGGAAAATTATTTAGTAGTTGCTACCCAAGAAATATAAAAAAATAAAATGTACGGTACTCATGTACAGCACAGGTTATATTCAGTTTTGCTTTTTAGTATTAGCAGTAATGAAAGGTAGATGATAAATAGCTATACTAATTACAAATAAACATACATTATGTATTTATGCAACTGATACATTCATGTAAAAAGTATACCAGCAACTAATTTACACGTAACAGATCAAATAATTTTTATCTTTTTTTTCCTGGTATAAAAATTATAATTAATATTTTTTTACGCAAAACAAAGATCCCAACACCAGCAAGTTAGTGTTTCACTTGTTGGCTTATCATTGGTTAATTAACACATATATAAAGTAACCGTGAAAATACCAAATTAATTAAAGCACCTGAATAAAACTGATTGTTTTGATGTTGGGGTTTTCAGGGCCAGTGACACTCAGTACAACTTACTTAAAAGATAAAATTGTTGTTATTGTTGAAGTTAAGGGTCGTGACGGCCCTACCACCTCATACTCTTGTTGTTGTTGTTATTGTTGCTTCATTATTCTTGAAGTTAAGGGTCCTAACGGCTCTATTCTTTATTGTTGTTGTTGTTATAATATACTTGTCGTGTCGAATAAGTAAAACTGGTCAATTAACAAGAAATCATTTAAAATTAAGTCCTTTCTAAAATGTTCTCATATATTTAAAATATATATTTTTTCAAATTCAAATTTATTTATTTATTTGCAAGTAGTACATTGAGATTATGTATTTACGATAATGGGTTGCAATGCATAAAGAGCCTCTATTATGCCTAGGCATTATGGACCGACTTAATTTAATGGCTTATTGACTACTTAACACTAAAGAAATTTATCATACTTGCACAAAATGCATGCTAAAGGAATAACAGGAAAAGTTGGTAGATGAATCTATAATTTCCTCACAAAAAGAACACAGCAGTAGTCAATGAGTAAAGTCTGAGGCGGCTACGGTGAAAAGCTCTGTTCCGCAAGGAACAGTACTCGCTCCCATCTTGGTTTCTCATCCTCATATCCGACATAGACAAGGATGTCAGCCACAGCACCGTGTCTTCCTTTGCAGATGACACCCGAATTTGCATGACAGTGTTTTCCATTGCAGACACTGCAAGGCTCCAGGCGGACATCAACCAAATCTTTCAGTGGGCTGCAGAAAACAATACGAAGCTCAACGATGAGAAATTTCAATTACTCTGATATGGTAAACATGAGGAAATTAAAACTTCATCAGAGTATAAAACAAATTCCAGCCACAAAATAGAGCGAAAAACCAACGTCAAAGACCTGGGAGTGATCATGTCGGACGATCTCACTTTCAAGGACCATAACAGTGTATCAATCGCATCTGCTAGAAAAATGACAGGATGGATAATGAGAACCTTCAAAACTAGGGATGCCAAGCCCATGATGACACTTTTCAGGTCGCTTGTTCTATCTAGGCTGGAATATTGCTGCACACTAACAGCACCTTTCAAGGCAGGTGAAATTGCTTACCTAGAAAATGTACAGAGAACCTTCACGGCACGCATAACAGAGATAAAGCACCTCAATTACTGGGAGCGGTTCCTGAACCTGTACTCACTGGAACACAGGCAGGAGAGATACATTATTTACCTGGAGTTTACCTGGAGAGAGTTCCGGGGGTCAACGCCCCCGCGGCCCGATCTGTGACCAGGCCTCCTGGTGGATCAGAGCCTGATCAACCAGGCTGTTGCTGCTGGCTGCACGCAAACCAACGTACGAGCCACAGCCCGGCTGGTCAGGAACTGACTTTAGGTGCTTGTCCAGTGCCAGCTTGAAGACTGCCAGGGGTCTGTTGGTAATCCCCCTTATGTATGCTGGGAGGCAGTTGAACAGTCTCCGGCCCCTGACACTTATTGTATGGTCTCTTAACGTGCTAGTGACACCCCTGCTTTTCATTGGGGGGATGTTGCATCGTCTGCCAAGTCTTTTGCTTTCGTAGTGAGTGATTTTCGTGTGCAAGTTCGGTACTAGTCCCTCTAGGATTTTCCAGGTGTATATAATCATGTATCTCTCCCGCCTGCGTTCCAGGGGAAAACAGGTTCAGAACCTCAAGCGCTCCCAGTAATTGAGGTGTTTTATCTCCGTTATGCGTGCCGTGAAGGTTCTCTGTACATTTTTAAGGTCAGCAATTTCACCTGCCTTGAAAGGTGCTGTTAGTGTGCAGCAATATTCCAGCCTAGATAGAACAAGCGACCTGAAGAGTGTCATCATGGGCTTGGCCTCCCTAGTTTTGAAGGTTCTCATTATCCATCCTGTCATTTTTCTAGCAGATGCGATTGATACAATGTTATGGTCCTTGAAGGTGAGATCCTCCGACATGATCACTCCCAGGTCTTTGACGTTGGTGTTTCGCTCTATTTTGTGGCCAGAATTTGTTTTGTACTCTGATAAAGATTTAATTTCCTCCTGTTTACCATATCTGAGTAATTGAAATTTCTCATCGTTGAACTTCATATTGTTTTCTGCAGCCCACTGAAATATTTGGTTGATGTCCGCCTGGAGCCTTGCAGTGTCTGCAATGGAAGACACTGTCATGCAGATTCGGGTGTCATCTGCAAAGGAAGACACGGTGCTGTGGCTGACATCCTTGTCTATGTCGGATATGAGGATGAGGAACAAGATGGGAGCGAGTACTGTGCCTTGTGGAACAGAGCTTTTCACCGTAGCTGCCTCGGACTTTACTCTGTTGACGACTACTCTCTGTGTTCTGTTAGTGAGGAAATTATAGATCCATCGACCGACTTTTCCTGTTATTCCTTTAGCGCGCATTTTGTGCGCTATTACGCCATGGTCACACAACTCAGGGCAACATGGGTTTAGAACAGGTCGCTCCTGTCTGTCTCAACTATTGGATCACTACGACAAGGTCCTAAATGCACTAGAAGTTAAAAAGAATGCAGATGTAATATATACAGACTTTGCAAAAGCCTACGACAAGTGTGACCATGGCGTAATAGCGCACAAAATGCGTGCTAAAGGAATAACAGGAAAAGTCGGTCGATGGATCTATAATTTCCTCACTAACAGAACACAGAGAGTAGTCGTCAACAGAGTAAAGTCCGAGGCAGCTACGGTGAAAAGCTCTGTTCCACAAGGCACAGTACTCGCTCCCATCTTGTTCCTCATCCTCATATCCGACATAGACAAGGATGTCAGCCACAGCACCGTGTCTTCCTTTGCAGATGACATCCGAATCTGCATGACAGTGTCTTCCATTGCAGACACTGCAAGGCTCCAGGCGGACATCAACCAAATATTTCAGTGGGCTGCAGAAAACAATATGAAGTTCAACGATGAGAAATTTCAATTACTCAGATATGGTAAACAGGAGGAAATTAAATCTTTATCAGAGTACAAAACAAATTCTGGCCACAAAATAGAGCGAAACACCAACGTCAAAGACCTGGGAGTGATCATGTCGGAGGATCTCACCTTCAAGGACCATAACATTGTATCAATCGCATCTGCTAGAAAAATGACAGGATGGATAATGAGAACCTTCAAAACTAGGGAGGCCAAGCCCATGATGACACTCTTCAGGTCACTTGTTCTATCTAGGCTGGAATATTGCTGCACTCTAACAGCACCTTTCAAGGCAGGTGAAATTGCCGACCTAGAAAATGTACAGAGAACTTTCACGGCGCGCATAACGGAGATAAAACACCTCAATTACTGGGAGCGCTTGAGGTTTCTAAACCTGTATTCCCTGGAACGCAGGAGGGAGAGATACATGATTATATACACCTGGAAAATCCTAGAGGGACTAGTACCGAACTTGCACACGAAAATCACTCACTACGAAAGCAAAAGACTTGGCAGACGATGCACCATCCCCCCAATGAAAAGCAGGGGTGTCACTAGCACGTTAAGAGACCATACAATAAGTGTCAGGGGCCCGAGACTGTTCAACTGCCTCCCAGCACACATAAGGGGGATTACCAACAGACCCCTGGCAGTCTTCAAGCAGGCACTGGACAAGCACCTAAAGTCAGTTCCTGATCAGCCGGCTGTGGCTCGTACGTTGGATTGCGTGCAGCCAGCAGCAACAGCCTGGTTGATCAGGCGCTGATCCACCAGGAGGCCTGGTCACAGACCGGGCCGCGGGGGCGTTGACCCCCGAAACTCTCTCCAGGTAAACTCTAGGTAAACAGGTTTCTAGATGGGTGGTGATCTTGCTTCTTAGGACCCTTTCAAAGATTTTTATGATATGGGATGTTAGTGCTATCGGTCTGTAGTTCTTTGCTGTTGCTTTACTGCCCCTTTTGGGGAGTGGGGCTATGTCTGTTGTTTTTAGTAACTGTGGGACGACCCCCGTGTCCATGCTCCCTTTCCATAGAATGGAAAAGGCTCGTGATAGGGGCTTCTTGCAGTTCTTGATGAACACGGAGTTCCATGAGTCTGGCCCTGGGGCAGAGTGCATGGGCATGTCATTTATCGCCTGTTCGAAGTCATTTGGCGTCAGGATAACATCGGATAGGCTTGTGTTAACCAAATTTTGTGGCTCTCTCATAAAAAATTCGTTTTGATCTTCGACTCTCAGTCTGGTTAGCGGCTTGCTAAAAACTGAGTCATATTGGGACTTGAGTAGCTCACTCATTTCCTTGGTGTCATCTGTGTAGGACCCATCTTGTTTAAGTAGGGGCCCAATACTGGACGTTGTTCTCGACTTTGATTTGGCATAGGAGAAGAAAATACTTTGGGTTTCTTTCGATTTCATTTATGGCTTTTTAGTTCTTCCCGCGATTCCTGACTCCTATAAGATTCCTTTAGCTTGAGTTCGATGCTTGCTATTTCTCTGACCAGTGTCTCCCTACGCATTCAGATATATTGACCTCTTTTAGCCGCTCTGTTATTCTTTTCCGTCGCCTGTAAAGGGAGCGCTGTCTCTTTCTATTTTACATCTACTCCTCCTTTTTCTTAGAGGAATAAGCCTTGTGCATACATCGAGTGCCACCAAGTTAATCTGTTCTAGGCATACGTTGGGGTCTGTGTTGCTTAGTATATCTTCCCAGCTTATATCGGTTAGGACTTGGTTTACTTGGTCCCACTTTATGTTTTTGTTATTGAAGTTGAATTTGGTGAATGCTCCCTCGTGACTAGTCTCATTATGTCGGTCTGGGCTCCACGCATACATGTCTGAAACCTCAATTATGTTGTGATCTGAGTATATTGTTTTTGATATGGTGACATTTCTTATCAGATCATCATTGTTAGTGAAGATGAGGTCTAGTGTATTCTCCAGTCTAGTAGGCCCCTATTATTTGCTGGTTTAAATTGAATTTTGTGCAGAGATTTTAAAAGCTCGTGTGAGTGTGAGTTTTCATCAGAGCTGCCTCCTGGTTATTACCGCAAAAATATTATTTGCTATATTCCTCCATTTTAGGTGCCTTAAGTTGAAATCCCCCAGGAGCAAGAGTTGGATGCGGGAGCTGGAAGATTTTCCAGACAGTGGTCAATTTTTTTAACAGCTGTTCCTGGAATTGCTTGGGATGTTGCATCCGGAGGCTTGTAGACTACCACAATGACTGGGGTTGGTTCTCAAACCTTTACTGCTAAAAGTTC